TTTCCTCTCAATGAAAGAGGGGACATGGGCAAGTAAATGGTTCATGAGTAGTGTACTTGATCCTGTAGTTGACACTCCCAGTTTTATGTTTGAAATCTATTTTTATGATAATCGAGCCACAAGATAAAAGGCTAATTCTCCAAAGTATAGTCACATAAGCATTCTTGATGTAAGGATCACTTGTAGAGCTATAGTGAGTTTTATTGTTCCACATAGGAGTTTTGATCTTTTTTTTCTATGCTATATAATATGTGATCACAATCGTAAATGTCATTGATATCTCTTGTGCGCATAAGATTTTAAAGTACAAAGATTACGTGATCACTTAGTAAAGGTAATAAAAGTCAAATGTATCATTAGAAGAAGCTATGTGTACATGATCATAGTGACATCATCCCAGGGGCTACTAGCCTAGCTTGGGTCATGGATGGTGACATTATGCCAGGGGCCATTGTTTCCGAACTCGTGTTAATATAATTGCACCCTCGCAGGGGCCAAAGATCATAGCTGGGGTCATGATTATTGATACACCATCCCTGGGGAAATGAGTCTAGCTCGGGTCATATTCATGCCACATTTAGTTGGCCGTTTACTTTGGATTCTATCGAGGCTAATTCTATACCGTTCATGAGACATTGTACATGCTTACAGATATGGTATAGATTGACTAAGGTACAGTTAAAGGTGGTATCTTTTTATATGTACATTAGTGCTTTTATGAATTCTTTCATCTCCTATATGTTACTTTGTGCCTTACCTACTCAGTACATTCTTCTGTACTGACTTCCCCATTGGGGACGCTGCATTTCATGCTGCAGGCAGAGGTACTCCAGTTAGTAGACCTCCACTAGAATAGAGTACATGGCGTACTTGGCTATCTTGGATAAGCTCCATAATGTTTGGGGCCTTACCGAGTCATGTATATATGTTTTGGTATTGTATAAGGATTAAGGGTAAGGCGGGACCCTGTCCTGTCCTAAGTATTTTTCATATATATATAGTAGAGTCTTTGTAGACCTACGTTAAGGTATGGCACAGTTACAACTTGACCCTTAATAGGCATAGCCTCGACGGTTAGTATTATATGTACACGTTTTGGGCTTATCTTATGGGTCATTAGAATAAAGTATTTCTGCTCTTACTTGGTATTTATATGTTCAACTCATGGTATGCACATGCTAAGCATCGGTCAAGGACTGGTCCTCTCAGGACTATAGAGGTTTCGAGTGCATGTCCGTCCTTACGGGGTTTGAGGCGTGACAAAAGCCACGCCTTAAAAACGTAAATACAAATTCCTTTGGCAAAGCTTTTAAAGTTTTAGGTGTTGTCTGATTAATGTGGCCTTGGGCCAAATTTGTTCTATTCACAAACTAAATTCACGTCCGACTGCTCACAATATTTTTTCCTTGATTGACCATCATTTGAATTGATGACTGACTCGTATTGTCTGATTGATTCTCACCTAAATTTGGGATTTTATTATGCTGGTAAAGGACTATACATCTATAAATTTATTAAAGATATAACATCATATGTTATTGGTAGGAGCAAGCAACTAATCATGTATGACTCAAATAATAGTCCGAAAGAATAAATAGGTAAAACAAGACGATAAGATCGTCAAATGATCCAATAAATATTGAATTATTTGACATGTGACGACTTATTCCAATTATGATTTGATCAATAAGTACCAGAAATAGAGTCGCCAGATATTTCACCATGAGATATCGAGATGATATTAACTAGATTACTAACTAAAGTCATTGATCACGATCTTGATATATAGTCAATGTATATGTCCAAAGTCAAATTATAGCATTCCATCACAAAAACTTGACCCGGTTGTGCACAAGTGGGAAATGCACTAGCAGTGGATATCCAACCGTTGATATATCATGAGCGATACACTACCATTACTTTTAAGTTTTCTGTTGAGGTATATACTGCAAAGGTACTTAAATTGGATCAGTGATCGATTTCTAGGATTCGTCGTAAATCTAATTAGTTATTTTTAATTACGTATATCTGTAACGACCCAACCGGTTATTTTTAAGAATTTGCATTCAGTTCGGTGGTTTGAGGTCAGGAGTAGCTTCATATGGTGTATTATGACTTGTGTGTATCGTCCATTTTGGTTTTCGAGTGGTTCGGGATTGAATTGGAAGAATGATTCTCAACTAGGAAGTATTAACTTGGCAGAGTTGACCAAGTTTGACTTTTGTGTATTTGATCTTGGATCGATATTTTAATGGCTCCGGATGGTAATTTTGGCTTGGGCATATGCCCAGATTTGCATTCGGATATTCCTAAAAGGTTTTGACTTTATTTGGCAAAAGTTGGCAATTTGTGTATAAAATTTGAGGTGAATCCGAGTTGTTTAGACGTGTTCGGTGTAAGTTTGGAATTTGAAATTTTGAAATAGTTCATTAAGCTTGAATTAAGGTGTGATTCATTATTTTGATATTATTATATGTGATTTGAGACCTCGAGTAGGTCCGTGTTATGTTTTGATACTTGTTGGCATGTACAGACGGGGTCCCGAGGGGCTCGTGTGAGTTTCACACGGGGTTCGGACTATTTTGGGCCATGTTGGATATTGCTGGTTTCTGTTGATTT